GAGGAGGGCACCTTTTGGGATGAGCACTGGGTGTTGTATGGAAACCAATTTGACAATAAATTTCATATAAAAAAAAAAAAAGAAATGTTAAAAAAAAATTTTTTAAATATAAGTCCTGGGGGTGTAATGTACAGTATGGTGACTATAGTTAATAATACTCTATCACATATTTCAAAGTTGCAAAGAGCATAGATATTAAAAGTTCTCAACACACACATACACACAAATTGTAACTATATGTGGTGATGGATGTTAACTAGACTTATCGTGGTGACCATGTCACAATACATACAAATATCCAATCATCCTGTTGCACACCTGAAACTAATATAATATTGTATATTAACTATACCTCAATTATAAATAAATGGTTTTTAATAAATAAATAAGTAAACAAGTAGAATCTCTTCCAGGTGATTCTTGTGTACACTTTTCTAGAGCTTGTTTGGATGCTGATGGACGGACCCCAGAGAAAGAGAAGTAGACAGTGTGGGAGGGGGAGGAGAAGTCTACTGAGAGGCAGGAAGTGTGGGATGGGAACCAGAACCCAGGTTGGAGAGACACTCCTCCAATGTAAAGGGGGAGCAGGGAGGAAGAGAATGAATGCCAATGAGGGAAACTATGAAGACCTGATAGTGGGAAGATGAGGTGGTGCTTGCCGGTATTTTTGCATACTTAAAAGAGTTATAAATATTTGTGTGTCATTCCTTGTGTGATAGCTGCCTTTCCTGGTGGATTGTGAGATCTTTACCTAAAGGCAGGACCTGTTGCTTGCTTTATTCACTGATGTTATCTTCAGATCTAGCACGGAGGAAATGCTCCAAAAATGTTTGCTGGACGAATACATGAGCCTCATGTTTGATATGATGTGACATCCAAGTGAAGATGTTATGGGAAAAATAAGCCTGGAAATACAGGACTGGATTTCAGAGCAAAGAGAGGCTAATGATGAGTCTGCAAGTCCTCTGCAGTAATAATGGTTCAAATCAAAGGGGTTCACAGAGAGGCAAGAAGGAGAAAGAGAACAGAATGTGCAAGACAGCTGTCTCCAGGAGACAGTCATTGGGAGGGAGCAGATGGAGGATGCAAGAAATAAATATCAAAAGAAAAAGAAAAACACCACCCAAAGTCCTTTTGCTAATCCAACCCAGGCCTACTTCTGTCAACTCCACAGTTACCCTGCTACTCCCTTTTTAGGCATTCCATCCTACAGTGGAAATGAAGAGTTATCTGGCATTGTTTTTAATACTTAAAAAGAGAAACTTGAAAGTCTGGAGGAGTCTAAGAGAGAAGTCAGGTGAAATGGCTAGGAACATAGGAGCCCAGACTTTACTTCTCCTCTGGCTAATTTCATCCACAGTTCCCACTGCCCTGGGGTTTCTGTGGTCCCTCTGCATGTGTCTCTATCCAGGGAGAGCTGACCAAGGATTCACATTTAGGCAGCATTTCTGGTAGGGATATTTTCATTTCCCTTGGCTTTATTCAGACTTGGAGGCTAACTCTAATAAGGAATTAAGGATGATATAGAAACTAGGATTTTCATGTTAGATACAAAACATTTATCAAGCAGCTATTACACTCCAGGATTCTAAGGGAAAAATCAAAATAAAGTTGCTATTTGTGTTCCTGCTTATAGTTGAAGGTTGGAGGGAGAGGAGAAAGGTGGATTTGCTGCAAGGTGAAGGTGAGGGCCACAATTGTGGTCAATGGGGGCTAGGGTCAGTACTGACTTTCACAGAAATAGGAGAAAAGAAGTTTATCATCTTTGCTTCCAGAAAAAGAATGAGAATATGCAAGCAGAGTGCCTCGGACAGAGACCTTTGTCTCCTGACTTTCTGTGGCTTCCATATCCTCTGTGATTGATGGATAATTCGTGTACCAGGTCCCAGGATTCCAAAGAGAAGCTGCATTAGGATGCAGGAGGCAGGCGATAATTTTCCTCTCTTCATCTTGAAATAATCCACATTGGAAGTTGTTATCTAGCATGGTGGGTTCTACAGCAGAAATGGACTACATAGGATGAGTTGATGCCTGGAGTCTCACTAGGGCATGAAGTTTCAGGAAGAATTAAAAGCTTGCCAGGGCCAGGGTTGTGGGAGGAGGAAGATCAACTGGGATGAGTTCCGTGGTAGTAGGGAGCCAGGGACTTGAACAGCTGGATTCTTGGATTCTAACACTTGCTCCACAATATGCCCAGCTTACTTTCTTGTCTCACTTGGCCATTGCTATGGGCTTTGTAGTTGCTGCTAAGCAGGGGAAGCCATAACTTTTGGCCCTCCCTCTACAGAGAGGGGTGCTTCTGGCAATTTAGGGGGGTAGGAACAGGGAGAGAGAGAGAACAAGGGGATCAAATGTGTCAAAAGAAAAGGAGACCCACCCTTGGGGCCAGAGATCAGCAAAAACCTGTTTTCTCTGGGGATGTCTCATTTCTGGATCAGAGGTCTTTGTAGCAGGCAGAAGGGAGAAAAATGAGGGTGACTGGGTCCAAAATCATTCAATATTCTTACTGTGCCAGCATTCACTGTCCAGGAGCAGGTGGACAGAGAGTGCTAGCACAGTCAGCTGTAAGGGGGTCTGGGTGCTGGGAGGGAGGGCAAAGTGCTTCTGCCCTGTGGGGCCAGAAGAACAAAACTCTGGAAGTCCAAGGGGCTGAAAGGGGAACCTGTACTCCAGAAGAAGGAGCTGGACCTTTTCTTGCACAAACCTCAATCATACTTTTTTCCTTAGGTGGTCCCTATAAACATCCCACCCATCTAGATCATGCTGCCAAGTTACAGGGATCCTGGCTCCACTAAGGGACAAAGTAAAGTTGTGTTGGGAGAAAAACTCTGCTCCCAGGAGCTGTGTGGGTTTGAACAAGGTTCTTCGCTGAGCCTCGGTTTTGTCTTCTGTCAAACAAGCTTAGTAAGAAAGAACTCGCAGAGTTAACAGAAGATTGAAGCATGTGATGTGGTGAAAGAAAGCACAGCGAAAACTTTAGTTTTATTATGGATGGTGCGCAGATGGAAGGAAGCCGAGGCCTGTCAATCTGGCTCTCAGGGCAGGAAGCCAGGGCTAGGAACTGCACCCCAACTCCGAGGGTGGCTGGCGGTGCGGGGCGTGATCCAAGGGTGTGCTCACGGTGGCCAAGTAGAGGGGGCGCCTGGGTGTGTCTGGCCTTGAACCACCAATCCACTCAGTTACCCAGCGAGATCCAGGAGCCTCCAGCCAAGTGGAACCTAGAGCGAAGGAAGGAGGCTGCTCTGGTCCCCTGTCCCTCACCCCCAATCCTGGCCCGCCCTGCCTGGGCTCACCCCTCTGCCCTTGCACCTGTTGCCCACTTCAGCCCTAGAGGTCTTGGGCACTGATCTATCCTGGGGATGTGGGGATTAAGCTTGTGAGGAGGGAACCATTCCCTCCTTGCCACTCATTATGTAATTTTCTCTAATGAGAGCCCAACCCGAGAGCTTGTCAGAGGATTTCCCCCGTAGATTTCCAAGTAAGCATTGTAGCGGGAGAGAGAAATGGGAAGGGAGACAATCAGCAGCTGTGGTGGGGCCCACAGTCCCTGCAGCACTTGTGAGATGGAGAACCTCCTATACACCCCCAAATACACACCCTTTGACCCCAGAGCTCCATTTGGGTCCTTTTGCAGGGAGGCCTCCGTGGGATTCAATGTTTGGCACTCTAGGGGCAAAGGTGCTCTTGCTTGGTTTTGTTTTAGTTTTTATTAAATTTTTTTCAACGTTTTTTATTTATTTTTGGGACAGAGAGAAACAGAGCATGAACGGGGGAGGGGCAGAGAGAGAGGGAGACACAGCATCGGAAACAGGCTCCAGGCTCCGAGCCATCAGCCCAGAGCCTGATGCGGGACTCGAACTCACGGACCGCGAGATCGTGACCTGGCTGAAGTCGGAGGCTTAACCGACTGCGCCACCCAGGCGCCCCTTGTTTTAGTTTTTAAATTGGGGTCCATGCTGGAGAAATTCAATGGTTATAGGCTAGGTATAGGGGGTATCTACTTTCCTCCCAGAAAGAGTGACACTCCTGTCCTGGCAGCTGCCGCATGCTGTCACCATCTGCCCGGATGACTACAAGCCTGGTATCCTTTTCTTTTTTCCCCAGGCACTCCAGCCCTTTCCAGAAACCAGGTGTTCTGGAGAGAGGGCTCTCTCCAGGGACCCAAGTCTGGGGTTCCTGTGGCATCTTTCTGGGATCCAAGCTACAATCCTGCCTTTAGCAGAGTAGAGCTCTGGTGGGAGATTCAGAGAGTTCCTGAGCCTGCAGTGTGCCCTGGCAGATAACTCAGTGGCATGAGTGTCAAGATTAAGACCACTGTCTGTGGTAGACTTCCAGATTCCTGAAAATGGGAATGCCAAAAGTAGCAGAGAGGGTTGCTATTTGATTCTCAATGAAGTTAAACTTGGAAGGCCTGTGCCTTTCTGGTCAGGGAAATTGCTGATCCTCCTTTGGTAAGAGTGAGCCAAGGCCATGTGGGTGATGGGCAGTTGGTCTGCTGGGAGTGATGTTTGGGCATGGAATGGCTTTGGAGCAGGGCTAGTATCCTAACATAAATTTGGGATGTAGTAGTTGCCCATGAATATTGGGTTTAATTCATTAGAGTCATGCTTTATTCTGTGTAGTACTGCCTTGTGAGAACTCTTAGTGAATTATGTATTTAATTTCCCTATATTTGTGTCTCAGGTGGTAACTATATCTTATATTTATAATGCTCAACAGATTTTATAATAGGTACATGGAAATACTGGCTTATTAATGAACACATTTTCTCCTGCTTTTGCACCATGCAGATGGGCCCAGCAGGAACTCAGGCTGGCTCCTATCTAAATCCAGGAGTGACTCATTTTAGGAGCAGTAGAAATTCAGCCTAATTTTCCATGACAGTAAAGAATTCCTGTTCTCTAGCCACTGCTGCTCAAGGTCATATGTAAGGTCACAGCCAGAGTCAGGAACACTAGTCAAGGCTTCTCCCAACTGACAGTTCAATAATTATGGTGTACTTACTTTACAAATATTTTCTACTTTATTATAAAAAGACCAATAGATAGGAAGCTATCTATTATCTGTTCATTCTTTCCACTATGCCAAATCAGTAATAGGTGAAAGGGCTTTAATAGTTGGAGAGAAAATCCAGATGATATGCCTACAAGGGGGAATATCAAAATCTGGGGTGAAAGTGTGAGTAGAGAGAGAATGGGGGCAGTGGAGAAGGCAAGTGACTCTTCCAGAAAAAAGCCTGGACTGGCTTTTGGTAGAACTGACAGGAAAATAAATAATGAGTGGGGAACACCATCAGGGACAGTCTGGAATGGGGATAAATGGATAAGACTGCAGACCACACAAAAATCCCTCCCTCTGTGCCACCCACAACCCAGAAAGCCAGACCAGCAGGATGTCTACTGTAGACATTTAGAAAAAACTAAAGGATTCAGAAGGAAGAGGGAAGAACCATCTGGATGAGAGACATTTATTATCTTTTCTGGAATTTTCCTTTCTCCTTGGTATAGAGAAGGTGAAGGAAATAAGTTCTCTTTTCTTCTCAGATTCTACTTTTTTCATTTTAAAAAGGAGGTAGGCAAGTGTCCTGGGAAGTCAAAGACGAGCCTGCTTATACACAACATCTAAGTAATAGTACATGGAAATATTATAGATTGGTCCTGACACCCAGGAACTCTGTCCTCAATCTCCAACTCACAGTCAGATATGGGGCATTGCCTTCTAAGGCCCCCAAACTTCCTTTAGTCATGCTGCTCCTCCCAAGACTCAGTGTCCTATGTTGGTGTCTACCCCATGTGTCCATCAAACATGTTTTCATTCCAAGACCACCATCTTCTGCAGAGAACACTTGCATTATTCATTCTTTCTTCTTTATCTCCCTTCTTGCTTCTCCTTCTTGCTTATCACCTCATCCCTTGACCAGTTTCAATAAGAACACAGCTGATGAAGAGTTAATGCTGTTAACTGCCAGTACTCTGCCCTTCCTGGTGTCCAGGAAATAGGAATGGTGAGTCTAATTCCTCATCTTAGGAAGGACATGGAAGAGCTGGGACCTTTCTGAAGGATCACCGTGGGGAAGGGATCTGGCCCTTGCCAAGAGTCTGCTGCTCCATCAGGTAGACTGGGTAGGAATTAGGGCCCCCATCATCCTCTGGGTCATTGTCCTCTGTGTTTTGGACCAGTGCACGGCGTGTTTTCATCGTACAGGCAATCTGTGATTAGGAGAAAGGAGGAATGAGTTTCATCTGCCATGCCACTTGCTTTCCTCAATACCCATAACCCTTCAATTCTACTCTCCCTGATCCTAGCCATTTAGCTTCCTTCTTTCCCAAGATTCCATCCAAACCTTGATCCTTATTCCAGCCCCAGATCCCATGCACTAAGTCCCAGACTTCATCTCCAATTCCCTCCTCTGTCCAATTTTCCCTCTCCTGATATTCCCTGTTCTCATATCCCAGATTCTATCTCCAGCCCCCAGTTTTTCCCTATTCAATTTCCTTTTCTCTCAGCCACAGACTTTTCTTCAATGCCACTGTTCATGCCTCATGCACCTATTGTCCTTCCCCAAAGTTTTCACCACCACTACCCCTTTATTACCATCCTCCCACCATGCCTCTTTTCCTGGGCTAATTACTGCCTCTTGTTCAGATCCATAATCTCTCATCAACTCCCTGTCTCATGGGTTCACTCCCCTGTAGCATCCCTGCCCCTTACCAAGAAGATAAGGCCAAGGAACACCAGGAAGAGAATCACAGCCACCAGGACCACAATAACTATGGCCCATGCAGGGAATGAATCATTCTCCCTCATTCCTCCAGCACGAAGACCTCCCTGTGAGCCATCTTTGTTCTGATATGGATGGTTTTGGTTGCCTGGGGCTTCTGACATGATGGAACTCAGCTCTATGTGAGATGTGGTGAGTGTAAAAGAACCAATGGGTACCCCATAGGTAACATCAGTTTTATTTGAACCAGGAGAGGTATTAGTGACAGATTTGTCTCCTGTGACATTGAATGGAGGTCTTATAGTCTCTGTGGGAGCTGTGTTTTTTCCTACACTTTCTTTAGGTTTTCTTGGGGGTTTTGTGGTCTCAGTGGCCAATGTGGCCTTTACTCCATGTTTTATAGATTTGGCTTGAGTTCTTGTTGTCTTCTTATTGGCTGGAGTGGCATTTTCTCCATGTTCTTTGGGCCTCTCTGGGGCTCTTGTGGTATTGCTGTTGGCCGAGATGATCTTCTCCCCATGGTCTGTGGGAATTCCTGGGGCTCTTGTGGTCTTCCCATTGACCGTTGTGTTCTTCTCCCCATGGTTCTTGGGCTCTTCTAGGGCTCTAGTGGTCTTCCCCTCATGGTCCTTGGGGCCTTCTGGGGCTCTCGTGGTCATCCTATTGGCCAGTGTTGTTTTCTCCCCATTGTCCTTGGGCCCTTCTGGGGCTCTTGTGGTCTCCCTGTTGGTTGGGGTGGTTTTCTCCCCATGGTCTGTAGGAACTTCTGGGGCTCTCGTGGTCATCCCATTGGCCAGTGTAGTCTTCTCCCTGTGATTCCTGGGCCCTTCTGGAGCTCTTGTGGTCTTTCCATTGGCTGGGGTGGTCTTCTCCCTCTGGTCCTTGGGCCCTTTTAGGGCTCTGGTGGTCTTCTCCCCATGGTCCTTGGGGCCTTCTGGGGCTCTCGTGGTCATCCCATTGACTGTTGTGTTCTTCTCCCCATGGTCCTTGGACCCTTGTAGGGCTCTGGTGGTCTTACCCCCATCATCCTTGGACCCTTCTGGGACTCTTGTGGTCTTACCATTGGCCAGGGTGGTCTTCTCCTTATGGTCGTTGGGCCCCCCTAGGACTCTAGTGGTCTTCCTGTTGACTGTGGTGGTCTTCTCCCCATGATGCTTGGGACCTTCCAGGGCTCTTGTGGTCTCCCTGTTGGCTGGGGTGGTCTTCCCATGGTCCTTGGGCCCTTCTGGGGCACTCATCGTCTTCCCATTGGCTAGGGTTGTCTTCTCACCATAGTCTTTGATCCCTTCTAGGGCTCTAGTGGTCTTCCCCCTATGGTCCGTGGGCCCTTCTGGGGCTCTTGTCGTCTTCCCATTGGCCAGGGTGTTTTTCTCCCTGTGGTCCTTGGTCCTTTCTAGGGCTCTAGTGGTCTTCCCCCCATGGTTCTCAGGCCCTTCTGGGGCTCCCGTGGTCTTCCCATTAGCTGGCGTTGTCTTCTCACCAGAGGCCTTGGGCCCTTCTAGGGTTCTTGTGGTTTTCTTCCCATATTCCTTGTGGCCTTCTGGGGCTCTCGTGATCATCCCATTGGCAGGTGTAGTCCTTTCCTCATGGTTCTTGGACCTTTCTGGGGCACTTGTGATCTTCCTGACTGTGGTGGTCTTCTCCCTGTGGTCCTTGGGCCCTTCTGGAGTTCTTGTGGTCTTTTCCTCATGTTCCTTGGGCCCTTCTGGGACACTTGTGGTCACCCCATTGGCTGATGTAGTCTTCTCATCATGTCCCTTGGGGCCTTCTGGGGCACTTGTGATCTTCCTGTTGACTGTAGTGGTCTTCTTCTCATGATCCTTAGGCCCTTCCGGGGATCTTGTGATTTCCTTGTTGGCTGGGGTGATCTTCTCATGGTCCTTGAACCCTGATGGGGATCTCATGGTCTTCCCATTGGCTGGGGTGGTCTTCTCCCCATAGTCCTTGGGCCCTTCTAGGGTTCTTGTGATCATCACGTTGGCTGATGTAGTCTTCTCCCCATGACCCTTGGGGCTTTCTGGGGCATTTGTGGTCTTCCCGTTGACTGTAGTGGTCTTCTTCTCATGATTCTTAGGCCCTTCCACGGGTCTTGTGACCTCCCTGTTGGCTGGGGTGGTCTTCCCATGGTCCTTGGGCCCTGCTGGGGCTCTCATGGTCTTCCCATTGGCGGGGGTTGTCTTCTCACCATAGTCAGTGGGCCCTTCTGGGGCCCTTGTGATCCTTCTGCTGTCCGGAGTGGTGTTCTGTCCATGTTTCTTGGACTTTTGGGGGGTTAGTGTGGTTTTCTTATTGGTTGATGTAGTCTCTTCTCCATATTTTGTAGATTCTGTTGGGACTCCCGGAGTCTTCTCATAAGGCAATGTGGCTACTTTTCCATGTTCTAGTGAGTTTTCTAGTGATTTTGTGATATTTATATGAGCTGATATGGTGCTGTGTCCATGTTCTCTAAGTGTTGCTGGTATTTGTGTGGTCTTTTCAATGGGTGATGTCCTGTTTATATGTCCTGTAGTCTTCATCATTGTTGTGCCTGAGGCAACTGTAGTTCTGAGATTAGCAGCTATTGTATGATCTCCAGCTCTTTCTGACCTTCGTGGGGTTCTTGTAACCTCATCTGATGGGGCTGTTGTGCTTTTGCCTGAGGAATACATAGGTATTTTTTTGCTCTCCGAATTTCCTGAGTTGTAGACAGGATTTATGGTCTTCTGTGAAGTAGCGCTTTTACTCTCTGAAGTAATGTTTCTCGAAGATGTTACACTTTTATCTGTTCCTATAACTGATTTGAACCTAAGGCAAGTTGTTTTGATCTTGGGTGCTGACGTTGGATATTTTACACCAGACGATCCTTTATGTGTGTTAGTAGAGTCAGTAGGATCAATAGACCGTCCATTCCGAACATTTGGGTCTCTTCCTTGATTGCTCGGGGTTTTTTCAGAAGTAGGAAGAACTTCATGATGACTTGTAGAGTTTTGGGAATTACCTATGTGTTTGTAAATCGGCTTGAGATGGTGTGTAGTGTTGCAATTGCGTTTTAGATTATGGGTTTCTGTAGATTTAGTGAGGTCTAGAGGGCTATGGCTTGACTGAAGAGCAGTATGATCAGGGGGTGCACTATAAACAAAGCCTGAAATAGGAGGGAACAAATTATCAGATGCTGGGGAATCACCAGTTTTCTGAAGTTCTTGAAATGTGATAGCACCTGTGAAGGAAAAGAGGCAAATAAGAAACTTCCATTATTTTCTTCCTTGTTTCTCTGCCCACCTCTCCCTCTAAGGGTCCCTTTATTACCCTAGATATATCTCCCCAGCCAGTATCCTCAAAATACTATGACTTAAAATCCCCATTCTCTCCTCTAGTCTCTGGACCTTTGTTCAGGTTGTGCCTTCAGCAAGAATGCCACTTCACCTCTTCTCCACTTCCACTCCTCAGTTATGAAATTCAGACCTTTCTGGCTTTATGGCATCTTTCCAGATCCTTCCAAGCATATAAGATCTAGTTTCATCTCAATTCTCAAAAAATTCTTTATTAATACCCTTTCCTGCTACCTTCAACCCAACCTTACAGTTATTTGTGTGCCTATCAACCTCTACTTCCTGCCCTACCTATCAAATCACAAGATTTTGAGATCAGATATTGAGGGTATTTTGTTCCACAAATGCTCCTTTAGAGTTTATATACTTATGAAATGGAGTTCCCTTTCCATGACAGGGCTGAGAAGAAAGGGAACAAATATCAGAATCTCCATCTTTCCATAAAATTCCAGCTCCATCTCAAATGTAATTGTGTAACAGACTGAAGTAAGACTTCTGGCAGAACTTGCCATAGGATTAATAAGTAGACACAGGTGATGAATAGGAGGAGGATAAAAAGAGGAATGGAAGATGGATAGAGGAAGGATATGGAAGACTTCATTTTGGTGTTAAAGTTTGGTTTGGATGTAGAGAAGTAGATGAGATGACTCAACCCTATGGTCCCCCACTGGACACCCCTCTCTTCACACGCCTAAAGCTATCTGGGATAGATGAAGTTTGCCCGCTTGAAAGAAAAAGATGTCTGCTTGGGAGTCCTGAGATGAGTGAATGAGGCAGCTGAATTGTAGAAGGGACTGACTGTGTTTAAGGACAGGGTGTGAGAGAAAACACCTCTATCAATAAACAGATATGGGCCTTAATTACGTGGGAAAAAAACAACCAACGGGGACAGAGGAGATGTCTCTGATACCTAGTCAGGAGATCGCCAAAGAGTGAGGGAGATAGTGTTGTTACGTAACTGAGATTTCCAGTCTGTTAGCTCAAGGCGGCAACCAGAACCTGGACCCATTCCCAATCACAAAGAAACAAAATCCACCCACCTCCTTGCTGCCAAGAAGAGTAGAGGCCCGGGGAACTCTTTGAAAAAATATGGGTGGGACAAGAAGGGGATGAGGGTCCCAAGTCTCTTATGGGAATCGAGGTTAGGGAGAGAAAGGATGGCTGAATTTTCAGGCCCTCACTTCGCTATGTTAGTTCCATTCCTTGGTTCTCTCAGCAGCAATACCAATGATAGCTACTATTCATTGGGCACCTTTTCTGAGCCAAAAGCTCAGGTGGTTGCCTTACAGACATTCTCTTTCTGGATTCTCTTCTAGGGTCACTGATCTGCCGGCTCCCCAAAAGTAGACAGATGATGAATGGGAGGAGGATAAGAAGAGGAATGGAAGATGGATAGAGGAAGGAGATGGGAGACTTTCATTTTAGTGTTAAAGTTTTGCCTGGATGCAGAGAAGTAGATGAGATGACTCAACCCTATGGTTCCCCACTGGCCTCCCCTCTTCACACACCTAAAGCTATCTGGATAGATGAAGGTTGCCCTCTTGAAAGAAAAATGTGTCTCTTTAGAAGCGTTACAAGCTATTAACCTCCCTATTTTACAGCCAAAAAACTTAAGTTTCAAGTTTCACCCAAGAGGAATGGTGACTTGCACACAATCCCACAGCAACAGCAATGGCCAACCTTTCTTGCACACTTACTATGAGACAGGCAGGTCTTATGAATGTATTAACTCATTTACTTTTCACAACAGCCCTTTGAAATTGAGAACTATTTGTTATTCTCCCCCTTTTTATAGATGAGGAAACAAGGTTCAGAGAGAATGAGTAATCTCCCCAAGGATACTCTCCAAGTCAAAAGTTGAGCTAGAGTTTGAACACATATTCTGGGTCCCCAGACCCAGGCTCCTACTGGTTAAGACTACACTACACAAACTATAGTTCAGCCCAGCTGTTGGGAAAGGAAGAACACTGGCACTTGTGGAACGCCTAAAGGATGCTGTCTATACATTTGTTTATTTAATCTTCACCACAAACCTGTGAGACAAGCATATGATCTTACTATTTTATAGGTGAGAAAAGGAAGTTCAAAGTGATGAAATAATTGGCAAAGTCAGGCTTCTCACTAAACCCCAGATGCTGTTAAATGTGATAGGGGATGAGTAAATATCCAGAAAGTGAATAAATGAGCAGTAGCAGTACAGTGGCAAATTCCACTGGCTTTAAAGAATCAGAGGACAAGATTAGAGTTCAGGCTCTGTCCCTCACCAGCTTTGCATGCTTGCTTGGGTCACTTAAATATTCAGAATATCCATGTCCTCAACTGTAAATAACAATGATGTCAACTGCACCAGCTTAAGCATAGATTATTTAAAGCATTTGTTGAATCTGAATTATAGTCTTTCAAACAGTCTCATACTTTGCCTTGTTCTCCTGGTAGTAAGGGGAGCCTGAGCCTGTGGCCTTCTACAGCCCCAGGTATCTCTCCTGTCCCATATGCTTCACATACCTCTGAGGCCTGCCTTGACCACCTCGTCCAAAGGGCAGCCCCATATTCCTGGGCCATTTCCCCTGGCTGTGTTTTATCAACATGACACTCATCATTTTCTATTTATAATAAATACTTCCCACAATGGCAGGGATTTTTAATTGTTTCATTCATTGCTATGTCTCCAGCTTAGAACAATGTCTGGCCCACAGGAAGCACTTCATACATATTTGTTGAATGGGTGATTAACAGTATCTTAAGACTGATGAAAACTCTTCAGAAGCAGTGCCAACAACCTCTCGTTATGCACACTAAGTAAAAAAGCATATATAACTGTGACCTCCATAAGTTGGAAAACCAAAGGGTAATTTCTGCCACATGAAGTAATTGAGCCCCTGAGATGTTAGAAGACCTACCAGTTCTGGGATACTGGTTGTCATTTAACCCCAGGGCCTATATAGTCAATAAAGAGATTCAGATAACTAGATCTTAGAATTCCAGATCTACATCACACAATTGTGGAACCATTGGTTATTAAGTCTTGAGTTGAAGCTCAAAGGATTCCTTGGTTCTGAGCTCAGCCATGGAGCAAATCAGTGACTAACTGCATTGCCCACCCACCCCACCCCACCCCCCTGCCCTAAGATGAGATGACCATCTCTTCTCCCCAGTAGCAATTTTAGTTCCCTAGGAAGTTTTTACCGTGAGATATTCATTTCGCCAACTACAATAATGGCCCCAAAATAACTTTTTTGGTCACTGATACATAGGCAGAGAGGAAACTCTGGCTTTAGCACAAGACACTGAAGATGGATGCTCAGCCTGGATTAAAGAATGAAAAAAATCCCACATCAAAACTACGTGTAATTCCAAAGGTCTGTTCAACATGTTTCATTCTCACTTATCATGCTAAGTGATTCATGATGCAGGGTCTCCATCAGAGCAGCTTTACCCAGAAGAGTGTATCTGGTGTTTCTTGGTGTCCTGCCCCTAGAAAATGGCTTACTCCATTTGCAATAATACAGGTAAATGCTTTAAATGTCTATAGAACACAAGCTCAGTACATGGCCTAAAACTCAGAGTAAAACAGACTAAAGAGAAATATACTCAAATGGTTGCCTGCATGGGTAACTGGGGATTATTATATTTTATTTTTCTTTCTCATTTTTTTTCCAGTTTTCCACTTTCTATAATGAGCATATTTCTGTCAGATAAGTTACATCAAATAACATTTATTAGAGGAAAAACAAGACATCCTTTTTAGACTTGCTCCAAGACCCCATTTGTGCTCCCCTCAGAGATTATTTAATCTACTTTCTGCACCTCTGGTTCTACAACTGCATGCCACAGACTCTGGGGTTCTAAGACCCAGTTATCTGAATCTGGGTATTGACTAATCCTGTGCATAAATGATGGAGAGGGGTCAGAACTGTGTACTAAAGGTATTCATCCACCTCAGTCATCACACTTTCCCTCTCTACCTTGGCCTCACTGCCTGCTGGACATAGTCATGTGCCCCATCAGCCCCACATTCCAGTTCCACCCTCACCCCACCCCAACCTTATCCCAGTCTCACACCCTCCCTACCTATCACCTACTTGCTCTTCTCTACAGGATCTGAGTGTCCACTGCCCTGGCCCTCCCCCCAGCCCTCTCCTCCGTTCCACCCAGGCAAACTCTAGCAGTCATCTCCCCAGACAAAACCCAGAGCCCAGAGTGTCCTATTCTGGAATTCAGATCTCAAGTCTGCCCTGCATCTGCCTGTGCCCTAGAGCAAATCTTCCTCAAAAGTTAATGTGTATGGAGTTGTCTCATGCTTCATTCCCTTCTGCTTTGTACCTACAGATCCTTCTTCCTGGGCAGCAGCATAACAGAAGGTGGCAGAGAGCAGCAGGTGGGATAGCAGCATGACAGGAAGGAGAAGAGAAGAGACCCAGGATTGGGAGGCTGAGGACGGCTCTGGTGCCTCTGTCCCCAGACCATTGAGATAGGGAGAGAGGTACAAGTCAGAGCACAAACAGAATGCACTGCTGAGGCCTAGCAGAGGCAGCTCGAAGATTCCTCAGCTCCTGCCCCTGCCAGCCACCATCCACTTGTTCCCTTCGCTCCCATCCCCACTGGCCCCAACATGACCTGAGCTCAAGGAAGGAGAAATTTCCTCCAATATCACCCTCTGTCAAATACTATTAGAAGAAGCTGCTGCCTGCCCTACCCTAAATACTGTCTGCAGCATCCAGATTCACAACTTTCTGGGTCCTGGTTTGCAATCATCAACATCGTTGCCATGGATGACCCTATCCAGCACATTGCGTCTCTCTGAATTTATTTGTGTGTGTCTACCTTGTGAAGACCCTCCTTTGAATCACCCAGGTCCCCTCCAGACTTCTCCTGTGTTTCACCTCTCCGCTCCCTGGGGTCAGTCACAGAACTATTTCTTAACTAAGTGAACTAATTTGGTGATTTCACTTTAACTTGTAGGTTCTGTTGTGCTCATTAAACTTTTCCACATACTTTTTCTCACTGAAGCTCTGGAATGTTTCCCAACTGTAGAATAGGGACAAAATCATGCACACCTTATCGAGTTGCTATGAGGATCAAATAAGTAAATGTGAACAAAGTGCCTAGAACAATGCCTAGCACATAGTAAATGCCTGGTACACATCATCTACTGGTATTGGCCAGATGGCATTCTTCTAAGCTTATAAATGTAGGAAAGCCCTGACTAACTAAATGGGCCAGAGTCCAGAATAGAACCAAGATTGGCATAGAACAGGGCTCTTGGGAGAGAAATGCACCTCAGGCCCATGAGGGCAGCAGGCAATGTGGAATGGCAGAATCCCCACTTGCCACCCTCTAACTTCATGACTTTGGACAAGTCCCTTCACTTCCTCTGCATCATGCTCTCCTCTCTATAAAGTGCAATATGAACCATCTCAGGAGATTTGAGGAGATGAAATGAGATGAAGTACTGTGAGCACATGTGAGTTCCTTGAACATAACAGATGCTCAGCGAATGTCAGGCCCCACTGCTGTCTACCCAAGACTGCTGGCCTGTACAGTGTCTTTATGTAAACTGGAAACAGCCCCTCTGTGCGTGGGTGCAGCTTTGCAGGCTATGTCTTGAGAAGCAGAGCACAGGCTGGATTTCATCTCCTACCTGCTCCTTAGACAGTAACCTTAAGCAGTGAACACCCTAGGCAACTGTATGCAACAACCCTATACCCACATCCCTTCCCACCACACATTCACCTGCTATTCATTTCTATGATTGGTCATTCAACCCTACAAATGCTAAGAAACAATTCCTCTTTGTCTTCTGTCTCCTTGTGTTATGGTAACCCCTTTGCCTCTGAAGGCATCTTACCTGCCTCCTGAGAAGCTAAAAGGAAGATGAGGCAGCAGTGGAGGCCAAAGGTGGAGCGGATGCAGTGGGCTGGCTGGGCCATGTTGGAGTTGGACAGCTGCTAGGGACCATGGGCTGGGGTCCTCTCAGCTTAAATGGATCCATGTTTGACGTCATGAGGGCTGGGGCCCCCCAGGTCTCAACCTTAAGTAAATGGAACCGCCCCACCCCACAAGGGTGCCCTGATAACAAGAGACCGCAACTGCTGTGTCACAGAGCCAAGCACCTGGGCGCCTGCTGAATGGGTGGGATCTGGGAAAAGGAATACAGAATGGGCAGACTCCTGACCCAGCCCCAGCAGAGGGAGAGGGGACTGGGTGGGGGCAGCCTCCAGGGCTCTGAGGAGATAGGGAGCATATTGCTGGGTTCTAAAAGGACTGGGCTCTGATGGGTGAGGCAGATGCGGGGGGGGGGGGGGTGATTGGGTGCTCAGGTTCTGGGAGGAGATTCACAGTCTGGTTCTCCAGCTTCACATTTGCCCTTCCACTTCTCTCGCATCAGCCCTGTTTTCCACACCCCTTATTCACACATGGTCACTCTTTTTGCCATGGGTGGAGTCATCCATGAGTATCAGGTGAAAGAGCAAAGAAGCGGAAAGACCTCACATGGTCCACTACTGCAGAGACAGGTGCTTCCAGATGTCCAGAGATGACACAAGATGTGGATACAGTGGGGACAGTGACAGAGACAAGCTACAAGACTGATACAGAAGCCCAGGACCCAACATCACACACCTCACCAGGGACGCAGATGGGAACGGAGGCTGAGTTCTTTGGTAGAGATGCTTGGTGTACAGGGGCTCTGCCTTCAGCCCACCCCTTCCCTCCTCTCCCACATCAGCCCAGCAGCCATCACTTGCCTCCAAGCCCCTATCACCCCTATATAGAAATGCAGACATCTCACTTCTAGAATCTCCTGGAGTCTTCCTCTTTCCCTCCTCCTGATTCCTTGCCTAGAGCAAGCGTTAGTTCAGAAGACTGTCAAAATTCATTCACTGGACTTCCAAGTGGCAGTACCTGGGGCTGGAGTTGTGGGGGACAGACTACTGGAGCCAAGGAGAAAGTCATGCATCCAGGTGTCCAAGTCACCACCTCTTTATGGCTCACTTGATTTGTTCACAGTGTGTCTCCTCTCATGGAAAGTAAGCACCCTGCAGGCAAGGTCTTTGTCTTGATCACTGCTGCTTTCCCCGTCACCTGAGGTAGTGTCTGGCACACAGTAGACAATCAGTAAGCACTTACTACTCGGCTATACAGAGTGGGTGTCTGGACTGTCTGCTGCCTTTCTGGGGGAAGTGGAGCAGGCAGAAGGAGTGGAGGGGGTCAAGATCTAAAGGTCAAGAAGCCAGGGGCTCAGGGCAGTGGGGCTCATGGGAGGACCAAAGAGACATTTTGGGAGAACATATGAATTGTTCTCATTACTTGGTGTGACTTGTCCCTAAGCCCTAGGCAGGGCTGGAATGAGTGAGAAGGGAACAGGCCAACTTCTCATTAATGTAATTAATGGGAAATTAATGAGGCTCCATGGAGTCAAGCCAAAGACTGGTTACTCAGAACTGGGTGGCCTGCCTCCCTGAAAGGGAGCACCCTGAAAGATGGAGGAACTAAGGCAGCAGAAGGCCTTCCCCTGTAGCTCCATCCGGACCCAGAGTGACTAACAACTCCCTTTTCCATTAGTCCCCAGCCCCACCCTTTTCCCCAGGAACCTAGGCCTCTAGGAGAGTGGTTCTCAACAGAGAGGGACAGCTTTGCTCCCCCAGCAAACATTTGGGAAAGTCCAAAGATATTCTTTTTTTTTGTTGTTTTTTAATTTTATTTGAGAGAGAGAGTGGGAGTAAGTGAGAGGGACCGAGTGAAAGAGAGAGAGAGAGAGGGAGAGAGAGAGAGAGAGAGAGAGAGAGAATATCTCAAGAAGGCTCCATGCTAAGCGTGGAGCCTGACATGGGGCTTGATCCCACAACCCTGGGATCATGACCTGAGCCAAAATCAAGAGTCGGATGCTCAGCCAACTGAGCCACCCAGGTGTCCCTAGAGATATTCTTGTCACAACTTGGAGGGGATGTCACTAGCCTCTAGTGGATAGAGGCCAGAGGTACTATTCAACATAATACACAATGCTCAGGACAGCCCCCAACCCGCAACAAAGAACTCTCC